GCAATATGAAGATGTTCAAAAGACTGTGTATAGAACTACTTTTCTCTCCATGGTGAAGTAGTAAAGATTGCTTTAATTTTGTATCGTTCCTCAGCAGTGTTTTCAAATATGCCAGTTTTAATATGAAGAGATCATTGCTAGAGCTAGTAGGGATATGCTTAGCGTTTGCTTCATGGACAGGGGTGGTATGCTTCTTTGCATTTCACTTATCCCCTGCTTTTTCTTTCCTGCCTTAATTTTGCAAGCAAATAGAATACTGAAATACTCAGGACGACTCCTGCCCTTGAAGGGGAGGTGGAAGGAGTAAAGGGTTGTATGATACGATATACTTGTGCCAATGACAAAGGCAGTGTCTTGAGTTTATTGCTGGCAAATTGCACTGATAGGGTTGCAGAATAAGGGAGACATTTTAAAAACAAAGATTTTTTTGAGGGGAATATGCATTTTCAATTTGCCAACATGGATAGTGTCCATTTAGTTCTTACTACAGATTCTAATATGTTGAATTGGAGTCAATGGCAGTAAACTAAAAAATCTGTTGTGTCTGTTTTGATCCAGCTTCATGAGCTAGCTGACTATATTGACTGAAGGGAAAATGCAGAGAGAGTCTTAGGGCAAATTTCCATTTCCCTGGTCATAGTCACTCTGTGCCAGACAGAGGCAAGTTTGTGCACCCCAAAAGTTGTTCAATATTCAGTGACTTTTCAATACTGTAAAGGTGGTGTTAGGTTTGTTCTGATTTTTGAAAGCTCTGCAGACCTGTCACAGCAGCTGGGAGGCAGCTAGCCCTAACCACATACAGTACAGTTGTGTGCAGATGAGAAGGTTCGGTTGCAGCTGTGGAGATTCAAGAAGCTGCACACCCTTGGCCTTAGCCTGCTCTGTGAGGAGGGATAAGGGCTGTTATGGTGGCTCTGTGCACCCATAAATCCCTTTATGTGTCAGGAATTCCTCCTGTGGTTGCCTACATTGATTTTTAGACCATATACCCCCAGATCAGACTTGAAATAATCAAACCTAAGTGTCTTGAAAAATCTTGGTATGTTTTTCTTAGGGCTTCTTTATTAATTGCTGAGAGATTTACTGCAGCTTAGGATCATGTACCAAGAATTTGAGTTCATTTTACAGCTTTCCTACTCAGTGGAGTGTGATGCTATTATTTCTACATTGTGTCACTCTCAGAGTAGATTTCAGGGTCTTTTTACACCTGAGAGGCACTGAGTGTCACAGGTGATGTTAGGACTGCACATTTGGCTTGCAGTTTAGGGCTGGCAAGAGAAGGATTGATTATACCATCTGGTCTTGAGAAGTGCTTAGCATCTCCAGCAAGACGTTGGATAAACTCCAGTGAAGGTCACTGGAGAGTTGATGCTCCTGAACATCGCAACAGAACTGCCCATTGCATGTGTTCTAGTGTGCATACAACACAAACATTATCTGTGGTCTTATCTAGACTGTGGAAACTTCTCAGCATTGCCAGAACACATGTGCAGCCTCACGTGTGCTGGCTACAGTGAATGCTAGAATAAAACCCAGTTTTACCTCCTAGGTCTTTCAGAGGTAAGCAGAGATTATACAACATAATGATACATGCCCCAGCTGCTGGTCTTATTATCCCCAGTGCTGTTGAAAAATTTTGTTAGTACTTGAGTAGTTCAGCAAACTCCCCATTGTAGCAGCAGTATTATATGCATTTTTTGCTTATTCTTTTCTCTTGCAGATGGGTAACTTGGTTCAAGGTTATTAAAACTGTAATGATGTCTGGTAAACATTACTGATCAGACAGTGCAAACGCAGCCTTACGTTTCTTACTTTACCTTTGTCTTTTTTTAACTCATAATCATTAAATAGTGATCTGAATATGATTTTTAAAATTATATGGAAGAAACATTATCTGAGGCCCCAAAGTATCCTTCACAACAACCTCTCAAAACCAGTTCTAGAGTATGAGGGGCAGATTTTTTTGCTGCAGTTGAGAAAACGGCAGAGGTGGCTTTTAGTGGCACTGCAGTATGCTTTGTGGTACACTTGTGACCTGGGAAAAGGATCAACAAGTGGTGAATTATATTAAAAGGTGATCTAATGCAAAAATTTTTGAACAAACAGATTCTGTACATGAAGGTGGCTGAATCACTCACTTGCCCTGTCTAACATTTGTTAGTATGTCAAAACAAGCAATACGCAGTTTCAGTAGTGTCCAGTTGCAGGGATAATATGAAGATTCACTGGCAGGAGTCTGGGTTGCTATTTTTGGTTTTGCCATATGTTTATTTAAACTTTTTTTTCCTTTTTCCATTTTGCTTTGATGAATTTCTTTTCATTAGCAGCAATAAATTGTTTAATGCTGAAAATTGGATTGGAAGAGTGGGCTAGTACAAGGCTTGAAAGAAATGATAGAGTAGCCACTGTAAATCATGAAATGTGCCTCTGAAAAAACTCTCAAAAATTTATTATTTATAGCAGGATATTCTGCTTGATATGTGGTGTTCTTTATTCATTATGAGTATTGCCTCAGTGACCTAACATGATGATATGGGGCACTGTGATTTTGCAGATGTCATCTGTCAGCTGAGATGTGCAAGCGAGATCTTAACCTCTAGTGATCAGAAATTGTTGCATGGTGTTTTTCACAAGAAAAGAGATCATACCAATTCCAGCTGGGCCTAATCCACTTGCCCAAATCATCCTGCTAATTGAATTGTGCATGTTCTTCATTGCTTTCTGCTATAAATTTTTGTTGCTAAACACCATCATTTCATTGATGAATAATACAAGCTCCATGGATGGTTTGTTGTAATTCAGGTAGAGCAGAATAGAAAGTAGTGCCAAGTCATTACATAGCCACAGCTATTGTTGTAATTAAAATGTTGCTATCCTGACTGCCAAAAGGAACACAAAAGATGTAGAGATTTTTCAGTTTATGTCAAACCTAGAAAAATACTTTTTGCTCTCTGCAGAGTATGGGAAACTTCCTCATATCTCTCATCTTCTGAAAAGTTGTAGGGTACACAAAAAGTTGCAGCTCAGCATTTCATAACCTCATTATATCTGGAGAGACGCTGAGCTCAGCAGGGTGAATAGAAGGCATTTAGGTAATCAAGCAGAAATATAGTTTAACTATCCCTTAGTTATTTTATCAGTGGGTGGTATTGGCAAGAATGTGGAGCAAGGAGAATTTTGCAGTGCTAACTGATTTGAAAAGGTTTTTTTCAAAGTGATAATACATAGTGGTATAATTAATGGTAATACAGAGGAGGAAGCTGCTCCTCTGAAAGTTTAACACTTTATAAGTTTCCCAATTCAAAAAGAAAAACAACAAAAAAAACCTCCACAGGCATATACCATTTCTGCAATAGGATAACTGATGGGTGACCCTGGAGAAGAATCATTTTGTTTGTAGACTAGATCCCAAAGTTGTTGGTTTTATATTTAAAAGGAAAAAAGTGAGTTAATTTAACTATGTTTTGTGTTTTTTCTGGATTCCTTTAGAAACATGTGATTCACAGCTATCTAGCTATCACAGCTAATGATCTTTGATTTGTTTTATTGTCGTGTTTACTGAGAGCATTCAGTGTTTCTGCAAGAGACATAAAAAATTTAATTCTGGTTCTTGATGGACCCATCTGTGAATTTTAGTTCTGATTCTGAATGTGAGGTAATTTTTCTTAATTCTTGCATAACTCTATAGTAAATTTGAGCAAAAAGCCTCATGAGAAATCATCCCTCATGGTTGCTCAGATTTATATGCGAGTCATTGCTATGGCATTGACTTTTCCTTTGGAGTGAGCAGTCCACGAGCTTAGTATTTGTTATGGGGATGATCTGCAGAAGAAAGAGAACAATTGGTACCAGAGGGCGAATAGTGCACAGGATTGTTGTGTACAGCATACTCGCCCACTGTACTCTGTTCCTTGAGGATTATGAACATATTTTAATTCCCACTGTATGGAACTGGATGGCTTTTAGATACAGCTGGATTCTTCCCTGGCTGGTGCGGGGAAACACATGTTTCTCAGCGGCACAAAGGATCCTTCTACCAGAGAATAATCTCAGAGGGAGATGGTGTTGGTTGTATCACTGCCCTGCCTCAGGGCCTGCATTTTACCTGGGGAACATAAAAACTGAGAACAGCTGCAAGTGGGATGTTATGTATTAACATATTCTCTCACTTGCTTTCCTCTCTCCTGCTGTTTTCTTGATGATCTGTATTGAGTGTTGACAGTGGGATGGTTGCAGTTGTTTTCCACTGCTACCGCTTGCCCACTAACGAACTTTCTACTGTTAGCAATTACGAGATTTTTGCTGGATATGTTAGTAGGCTTCGATCCCAGTGTATCCTGCTTTAAAAGCAGGAGTTTCTTTTCTACTCACTTTGGCTACATAGCAGATGAGAAGACACCAAAGAAGCTTGCTCATATGGTGGTGCATACATGTATTTGTGTGGTGCTGTTCTTAAGCTAATATGCTTTGTTTCTCACTAGGACTTTGTAGTCCAAGCAGTTTTAAATTGTATTTACTTGAATATGTTCTGAAAACAGAACAAACCTAGCAACCAGATCTATGTGTGAGTTTGCACAGTTAGTTTACAGCGTACACCTACAGAGGTGTGACCGCAGTACACTGCAAGCTTGAAGCCTGTGGGTGGGACACAGAGAAAGGTGTACTTGTAGATGTACACTCAAGTCAGCTGACAGGATCTCAGTGACACTGTTTTATGTAGCTTGCCTACCACAAAAGCTAAGGCTACATGTCCGGCTAGATGCATCTTTAAGTGTTGTGTTGAATAAAAAAGGTAACAGACTGATCAAACCAATGCTTTACTTGTATAACATTGCTGTGTCATTTTTGGGCACCTGTGTCTCCCCTCTGTATTTGGTATCTCAAGGATTACAAGAAATTAATGCCTTTATAGTTGCATTTGACTTGCTATGTTTTAAGTGACTGAATCATATACCTCTTTAGTGAAATATTCAGTGAATCTCATTTTGTTGTTGTTGCAGCAATCACTGAAAAGAAGAGGGAGCAAAGACCTACCAAAATCAGAAAAAAAGTCACAGCAGACACCAACAGAGGTATGGTATAATAACAGTATCCTGGATTGTCATGAGGAGGCTTCAGGGACACTATGGAAATGACGTACATGATTTGTAGATTTGCACTTTGCTTGCTTGTTTGCTTTGCTCTTTGTTTTCCTGTGTGCTGTGAAACAGAAAGCTCTTACCCCAGATCTGCAGTCAGACAACACTATGTCAAGGACCACCTAAACAAACCGCTGGTGCTGCGACAGAACCCACCAGCTTTCATGTACTCCATATTTTAGGCAAAATAAGTAAATGGGAGCACCAGTGAAACAAGATCGTAGGCCCTTTGTGTGCTGACTTCAGGATTTTTGAACACTGTAGAGTCTGTTACAGTGTTGCAAGCCTAGAAAATACAAGGACTTTTTGCAGGCCCCCACCCCCACAATGTATTTTCTGGGGACTGTGCAAACCTTATTCGCAAATAAAATAGTCTTTTCCCCTCTTTTAAATTTAAGTATTTATTTCCTTCTCTTTAATTTATTGATCAGTGAAAAAATGATTGCAGGAAAATCTCTTAGTATCTAAAGCTATGTACCTGTGATTGTTAATCTTGTAATTTAAGACCATCCACTGGAGGTCTCCTGTTTTACATCAAGTTTCTTCAAATGCTACTTTTTCTTTTTTTCAAGGATGACAATGAAGACCTGAAATGCCAGCTACAGTTTGTCAAAGAAGAAGCAGCCTTGATGAGGAAGAAAATGGCTAAGATTGATAAAGAGAAAGACAGATTTGAACATGAGCTGCAAAAATATAGATCATTTTATGGGGATTTGGACAGTCCCTTGCCAAAAGGTGAAGCAGGTGGGCCACCTACCACAAGAGAAGCTGAACTCAAGCTTCGATTGAGACTTGTGGAGGAGGAAGCTAACATTCTTGGGAGAAAAATAGTGGAACTAGAAGTAGAAAATAGAGGACTGAAAGCAGAGCTTGATGATTTAAGAGGAGATGATTTCTCAGGGACCGCTAACCCGCTCCTGGGAGAGCAGAGTGAATCCCTGTCAGAATTACGACAGCATTTGCAGCTAGTAGAAGATGAAACAGAATTACTGAGGAGAAATTTAGCTGATTTGGAAGAACAAAACAAGCGCATAACAGCTGAGCTGAACAAATACAAGTACAAGTCTGGGGCCCACGAGAGCTCTAGGCACCATGATAATGCCAAGACAGAAGCGTTACAGGAGGAGCTAAAAGCTGCACGAATGCAGATCAATGAGCTGAGTGGCAAAGTCATGCAACTCCAGTATGAGAACAGAGTCTTAATGTCCAACATGCAACGCTATGACTTGGCCTCTCACCTTGGGATCCGTGGCAGTCCCAGAGACAGTGATGCGGAAAGTGATGCAGGAAAAAAAGAGAGTGATGATGATTCCCGCCCACCTCACCGCAAAAGGGAAGGCCCCATTGGTGGGGAAAGTGACTCCGAAGAGGTACGCAACATTCGATGCCTGACACCTACAAGGTCTTTTTATCCGACACCATCTGGGTGGCAGAAGAGCTTCACTGACAGGCAGCAGATGAAGGACATTCGCTCTGAAGCTGAGCGGCTGGGCAAGACAATAGATCGCTTAATTTCTGACACGAGCACCATCATAACAGAGGCGAGAATTTATGTAGCTAATGGGGACCTCTTTGGACTGATGGATGAGGAAGATGATGGCAGCAGAATACGTGAGCATGAGCTTCTTTACCGGATCAACGCACAGATGAAGGCCTTCAGGAAAGAGCTCCAGGCTTTCATCGACAGACTTGAAGTTCCAAAGTCTGCGGATGATCGAAGTGCAGATGAACCTTTGTCAGTGAGTCAGGTAGACTTTTACTTATTACGGCCTACAGGTAAAAAGGCTCTGCCAAGTGAATTAAGCCTCAAATTCGATGTATGGCACATGAAAATTCTTTGTTCTAGACAGTGGACAAAAATTGCTATTTCTTGAATTATTTTAAATCCTCATTTGGCCATATGAAACCTTGTTCTACCAGTGGGGCTACTTGTGAACAGTGAATAAGTCTGGTCTCCTGGAAATTAAAAGAATTATGCTCTAGGAGGTGGAAGATTTTACTCCCTTCTGGCTTTGCAACTGCATTTGCCAGAGTTGTGCCTTCATCGCCAGTAAAGGCAGTGCAGACAGCATTTTTGGCACATAAATGAACATGATTGTTTTCTTAGTGGTTGGGTTCCTGTTAAATGAATAAAAAGAAAATCTTATTGAACAGGAGGAAACATTAAATTTCCAAAATTACAGACAATATGACAAACCATAGAGAAAAATAAACTATGCAAATCTACTTTACAGTCACAGAGCCACACAGTAGTATGAATATTTGAATTGCTGTAACTGATTGTGTCTTGTTGAAGGCCTGTGGGTCACTGCTTACATGCAGCCGTGACTAGCATCTTTTCTGTAGTTCATTTTTATGCAGAATTGTTCCAGAGGGGTTTTTGGGGAGCAAATTCCTTGCTGACTCAAGACCTTTTGCCGTGAAAAATGAAGATTACCTACCCTTTTCTTATCATGCAATCCTATAGTTGGCAAATCTTGTTACTGCTCATGGTATTATCCAGTGTTTCACTAAGTTTCTTGCTGTGTTAATTTACTTTGTGCTGTCTTGCTAGTTTACAGTCAAAGTAGTTGCCAGGTGAAGCTAAAAGCTATTATTTCCTATTCCTATGCTGACTAATTAGTCTTTTGTTTCCTTGTATCAGAAAGTCACAGACGCAGTGAGTTTAAAGCTAATCCATTACTATACATGTATTGCATGAAATCAAACAGAAACGGCATTTAGCATGCTCACTTTCTGATCTAGCAATAGCTCTGAGCTTGTAGAGCTCCCATTAGCTTGAAGGCAGAGCACTGCATGGGCTTACACAAATTAAAGCAAACTAATTAGTATTTTCTCTAAACAAATAACGGCAATAGTTAAATTGGACATTTCAGGGCTTGACCATGCAGAACTCCTACTGAAGTCAATGGGAGATGGGCACTTGGTCCCTCCACAAGCATAGTCTGATTCACTATTTATTTTGTTGAAACTTTGGACTTGCTATTCCATTAATTGACTGTTCTCTTTGTCTTTGTATTTACTTTCCCAGATGTTCCAGCCTATCATTTTACTTATTCTCATCCTTGTATTATTTTCATCCCTTTCATACACAACAATATTTAAACTTGTCTTCCTTTTTACACTGTTTTTTGTACTGTAAGCCATTCGTCATTTACTGTTCATTGTAGTATTATTTTCAGTTTGTTTATTTTGTCCACCCTCCAAGATAAGAAGTGCAAGAGACATAGTTTCTGTAATAGCCACTGCTGTAAAAACACTGAAGACTACTTGTTTGCCAAAACCAAAACAAAACCAAAAAACTGCAAAAAACATACCAAAAGTCACCCAGTTGAATAGGAAACCCACTCACCATGGTGTTCCAGGTAAGCAAACAGAAAATCATATTTTTCACTTCTTCTGGTTTTATCATTTTAGAATACAAATGTCCTGAGTGACTGGAACCAATTTAATATTCATTAATTTGCACGAAATCAGAAGCAAAACAGAAATATGCAGAGTGGATGTGAGGAGTCTGTTCCTTTCCTCTTCCCACTCCCAGAAAAAGAATTTGTATTCTAGCCACATAGGAATAGTAAAACCACATTCAATGTGCATTCTGCAATTGTATGTCACAGCCTGTATATATTTTGCATGATTGTGATGATAATGTTTTTTCAGCACTGTATTATGTGGATTAGACACCACGGAGGGGACAAAATCAGAATGGTTGGTATATAGAGCACTATATCTGGAAATGTGGCAAGGAGCTGGAGCCCCTGAGAATGAGGTGCACAAGGAGGAGGTATCAGAGTAGGTGAGGAGTCTTCTGAGAGATGTAGGCTGGCTGCATTCACTCTGTGATCTAGAAAAATGGCCACACTACAGGCTGACTTGAACTGAAGAAAGCGACGCTAGTCACCTTGTCTGATGTCAAATATCTTTTCCTAACAACCTAGTTTATCACTAACATTTTCCAGTCTGTAGACACCAGGGCTCTGGATTCTCTCTCCAGGTTTCAGAATGAGTTTTGAATGAACATGGTAACTCTTGGCTTGCTGAGTGGTTAGACCCCCGTCTAACCATGCTGGCAGTAGCGAGCGACCATAGGTGAGAGAAGCTTGTGTACACAGGTGTGCATCAGTGGTCACTGAATATTCCTGTCTTGCCTCCAAGCGGCTGCACTGAGAGCACAGGTGACTCATGATCTTTCTGTCACACTGAACATAGTCAGTTCCTACAAACAGGAGATCTCCCACTATGAAAACCTGATCTGAAATGCCCAGTGGAGCTCAGTTTTCTTTTTGGTTTTATTCAACCTGTGTTGAAACCACTGAGTCCCACAAATGTGAATTCTCCAAAGGTGATCATTTACAAATAAGTGTATTAATTAATTTTTTTTTTGTGCAGATGCCATGATAAAAAAATCTAGTAATAAATAGTGGTAATAAATCAAGCAGCTGTTTTTCTAGCTGATAATAAGTATTCCCTTTGATTTATCATGCTAGCACTCTGTTCACTTAACCCATTCCCCAGTAAGAACAGTTCATCTCCGTGCCTGGGTTGTGCTCTGCTATCTGAAATAGTAGAGGTATACCATTTTGAGGGAAACCTCTCAGAGGGGAGCAGAGGTTGGCAATAAAATTTATTTTATAAGAACAAAAAAAAATAGTAAACTCAAAATATTCAGTATTAAACAAAGCTTGTGTTTTTCTCCTTGTTTGTCTAGCTTTCCCTCAGCATACTCTGCAGATGTAGTAACCTTGATCAGTTAAATCACTTAACCTTGATTTAATCCAAATACTTAGTCCTACCAGGGGATGTTGTCATCATTGTTTATTTTGTAGTTAGCAAGATATGTCTAAAGGAAATGATAATCAATATATGTGAGATTAATAGATAGCCTTGCCTGGTGTCCTGAGTAAAGAGAAGGTCAGGCCCAAAGTAATTTTGAGGAGTTTCTAAGATGCTCTAATTTATGCTCAGTTGACTAAAAGTTAAGTTCCACATATTAGAAACTGTTGTGGCAAGATATGGTCAAGCATATCATCCCTTCACAGTGAATATCTGTAACTGTAAAGATATGTTCTTGGATCACTGGGAAGAGGCCCTTTTGCTGCTTTTCTCTCAGCAACTCTTGTAAGAAATTTTTCAGCAACTGCTTAAGAAATTCTTTCCCCCCCCCCCCCATAGATTTGCAATTAGGACATTAAAAGTGTAATAATTTGAGAGTTAACCTTGTCATATCAAATCTTATCATGAGACCGACTTTTTGAGTTTCTTTCTGGTTTAGGGTCTCCCTTGAGGGAAGAAAAGATCATTTGGGTTTTGTTAAATGTTACTGGCTCAATCCCATGAAAGAGAAAAAAATCATACTTAAATCTGATCTGAAGTTCTGGGCTTTCAGAGCTTCTAAGCCACACTTGTTTATACCTTTCTCAGCCTTGTATGTGATAAAGATGAGTAGAGAGGGTTTGATTTACGCTGAGTGTATCAGTAACAGTGCTACCATAAAGTAGTAGGAAAGTTTAATACACTGAATTCATACCTTGAATACATCTTGGAAGTAACTGGGAAAGATTTGCTTCTTTCTCAGAAATCAGAAAGGGTGAGGATGAACCTCTTGAGAAAAGGTGGAGATAACCTCTGCAGAGGACTGGCAATTAGAACCCCATTGATTTCTCACAGTGTTTTTTCTTGCATATAGCTGGAGCTTTCTTCATCCTAATTCTGTCAGGCATCAGCAAAGCAAATCAAAGCTGAGACCTTTTGGGACATTTAGGGAGCTATTGCACAGACTACAATCTGAAATTAAAGCATACAAAATCATTTTAGAAGCTCCCCACAGTTTTTGAATATGTGATGAGCAAGGAGAATGGGTGAGGACCCCTGCAAACCTCAGTGCAGAGAAATCTCAGTGAGAAATGGGATGTGTTTTTCATGTCCTTCTGCATTCAGCTTGAAGAGAGTGATTGGAGCTGCTTATCTGTTTTGCAGCAGATATTGCAGAGAAGTTCACAGCCCTCTTTCACTATTTTAAAAGCTGCTGAGAAAGCTAATAAAATCAGTATGGACATCTGTCCATAGCCAGAAGATAACATCCAACCAAAGAAATAAGTGTTCTCACACAGAAATGCAATGATTATACTTGCCAAGAAAGGGAGCAGATTCTCCCCACTCAGTTACTGGCCTGGTGGGCAAAGTCCACCTCACAGGTGAGTGCGTAAATGCAGCTGAACATGTCCACATCCTCTAGCAGGAGTGCGTGGGAGTCAGGCAGGGCAGAGCCAGACAGAACACTGCTGATTCACTAGATTCTGTCTGCCGCATAGCATCTAATTCTGAAGAGCAATAATAAGAAGAATACAAGAATTTGCTTTTACGTGGCAACAAGCTGGATATGCCAGTTCCCTATCAGTTCAAATCTCACTTAAACCAACAGCAGATTCACTGTTCCCATTTTGGAATATTCTGGCAAAATACTAATGTTCTGGCAAAAATGTCATTGAATTTGAACCCTGAGATTGCCTTAATTTTACATTTCTCTGAAAGATTAAATTGCTTTTTCCTGTGTTCCCAGGGAATTCATTCCATGTTCTTTCAGAAAGAAGAGATCTTGCATTTATAGATCTAATTCTGACATTTTTACACTTGTGTAAATCGGCAGTAACTCCAATGAATTTTTATGTCATTTAGAAAATAGATGCATTTTTTCCTTTACTGCAAACAGATAAATTCAATTAGATTTGTTTCCTATTTAGAGTCAGCTCTGATTGCCCTGACAACATATCTCTACAAGTATTTTCTTTACTGTTATTGAAAAATTCCCGTGATACTAGAATGATCATCTTCTCCAGGAGCAGAGATATTTCTTTCAACCAAAAATATCCATGCCTGAAGCTCCAGTTAGATAGAATAACTGTCTGCTGACACGTCACCAGTGCTTCAGAATCAAAACTAGAAGAGAGCAGGTGCTATAGTGCAGAAATATGCCTGGCAGTCGGAAAATAGAAAATTGCCAAAAACATGGCTGTCTAAGTATGTGTTATAAAAAGAGATGAACTGCACATGAACTTTGGGAGTTGTTTACAAAAACAAGCAGAGCTTTAGGATATTAGATGCCCTTCCCCTTAATCACCCCAGAATTTGATAGGTGAGTAGGAGACTTCTAAAGGCATCAGTATCAGGGACCTAATTCCCATTGGCTTACATTTCTGTCTCTGATTTAATGCCAGGGGAAGTGATATTCAAACCCAACTTTTGCCATTACACATGCAGTTGCCTATGGGGAAAATTACAGTGGCTCTATTTAAAGTAAACATCTAAAGTATCTGCCACCGATTTCCAATGTAACCTTGGAGAAGTGACATGACATAACACTTTGTTGGCTCTATTTCTCGACTAAGTTATATACTATTGCAGAAATGCACAATAGTAAGAGGAGACAGAATTTGTATTCCCTTCTGCACATTTCCTGATTTATATATCCACTCCTGAGATGTATTTGCCAGGATTATCAAGGTGTAAATCATTCAGGAATCTGATGTTGTGGTTGGGTTGATTACAGTGGCAGCAGTGCTGTTCTTCCTTCTTGTTACCAAATTTATGTAGACATAGCAAAATGGGTGTGCCATAACCAAGCTAGTACAGCAGAACTGAAGATGCTCTAAAATGATCTTGTGCACAGACTATTAACCAGAATACACACTGCCCTGAGTATATAGTCAGATTGTAGCCCATGCTGAAACTCATGCTCCTTTGTCTTCAGTCTTGCACGATGAAGAGAAATTTAGCAGCAGGCTTGTTTAAAATGCCCTTGCAGCCTTTTTGTTGCGTGCTGACTTTTAACACAAGCAGAGCTGATACCAGGTATGGACAAAGCACACTTTGCCTGTGGAAGCAGTGTGTCGGATGTAATAAACCTATAATAGCCTTCCTGCTTATTTTGCCTGTGCCAGAGGCCAGAAAGCCACATTTGCTGCTTTGTCTGCTGCTGTTGGGGGAGGGACCGTCTCTGTTGGATAACTTTTTCCCTCAAAAAGCAAAAGTCACTACTGCTACAATGAGCCCAGGTTTTTAGAGCTCGCTTCGTGTTTTCTTTGTCCCCACTTTCCTCTGTCTTTCCCATGTTAGGCTGAGTTTAACATGGGCCTTTGACATATGAGTGGGGTCCAGCTATTGTCTCCTAATGAGCCCCTCAGTCTCACACATTTCTAATTCCTCACACTGACAGAAATGTAGGATTTTGCCTGAGTGAAAACTCAAGCCTGGGATTTAGTCCATTGTTTTCTTCAGGTTTACTGTGTTTTACTTCGAAGAGTT